ACACACTTCTCTTAAGTCCTAGACTAATGAAGCAAATTAAAATAAGGAAAAACACAGGGGAACTAATTAGTAAGTTATGACCTCAGAAGAAATGTTTAAGAAAAAGATAGAAAAGTAAATGGAATTGAGAAATAAAATCCACAGGCCAGCTGTTGGAAAAATTAGATAAATTTTGCACTCCCCTAATCAGATATTTAAAATTTAGAAATAGTTAAGAGAAATAAATACAACAGAGTTGATTAATAAGTTTTAAAATGTGATTTAAATGGATTACTGTAATCTTAGGAGAAAAAAGTTGAAAATAGTGCATATATTACAATTCCATTAAATTATTTTGAATAATAATATAACATTTACAAATGCATGGATTAAAATCCAGAAAAATATATAGTAGTTTAATAGTGGTTTTCTCTAGTGGAGATGGAGAATATCAGTTTATGGGGGATCTTTTCCTAAGTATGACATACATTTTGTATTGTATGTCATACTTTTGTAATCAGAAAAAAAAGAGAACCAAAATATGGCATGAATTCAGATAAATAAACTAATCAACGAAGTGCATATGAGAGGCAACCAATCAACTGGTTGTTTCTCTATCACATTGATGTTTCTCTCCCTCTTTCTCCCCCAACTTCCACTCTCTATTGAAAAAAAAAAAAAAAAATCAAGATGCATGTCTTTGGGCAAGGATTTAAAAAACCCTTTTAAAAAACAAACTGGAAAAAGCAAACACATGGAGACTAAACAACCAACAGATTAAAAACAAAATTCAAAAATACTTTGAGATAAATGAAAATGAAAACACAACTCCCCAAAATTTATAGGATGTAGCAAAAGCAGTTCTAAAATGGAAATTAATAACTATACAGGCCTACCTCAAGAAACAAGAAAGATCCCAAATAAACAACTTAACTTTATACCTATAGAACTAGAAAAAGAACAAAACCCAAAGTGAGTAAAAGAAAGGAAATAAGATCATAGCAGAAAGAAATGATTTAGAGAAAAAAATAGATAGATAATATCAATAGAACTAAGAGCTGGTTCTTTACAAGTATCAACAAAATTGACCAACCTTTAGCCAGATTGATTCATCAAGAAAAAAAGAGAGCCCAAATAATTAAAATCAGATATGAAAGATGAGCAGTTACAACTGACACCACAAAAATACAAAGGATCATTAAAAAGTACCATTAACAATTATATACCAACAAATTCTACAATCTGAAAGAAATGGATAAATTCCTTTTATAGGAATTTATAAAATTTTTAACTATTTTATTTTCACTATTTTCAACTTTTTTCTCCTAAGATTACAGTAATCCATTTAAATCACATTTTAAAACTTATTAATCAACTCTGTTGTATTTATTTCTCTTAACTATTTCTAAATTTTAAATATCTGATTAGGGGAGTGCAAAATTTATCTAATTTTTCCAACAGCTGGCCTGTGGATTTTATTTCTCAATTCCATTTACTTTTCTATCTTTTTCTTAAACGTTTCTTCTGAGGTCATAACATACACACTTTCAAGGTTGGACCAAGAAGAAACAGAAAATCTAGACAGACTGATTACTAGTAATAAAATTGACTAAGTAATCAAAAAGCTCCCAAAAAACAGAAGTCCAAGACCAGACAGTCTCAAGGATGAATTTTAACAAACATTCATTTTTTTTAAATATTTTATTTATTTATTTTTAGACAGGGGAAAGGAGGAAGAAAGAGAGGGAAACACAGTGTGGTTGCCTCTCGAGTGCTCCCTAATGGGGACCTGCCCCAAAACCCAGGCATGTGCCCTGACTGGGAACTGAACTAGAGACCCTTTGGCTCACAGGATGGCGCTCAATCCACTAAGCCACACCAGCCAGGGCTAGAAAACATTTAAAGAACACTTAATATCTATCCTCCTCAAACTATTCCAAAAAAACTGAGGAGGAAGGGACATCTTCCAATTATTTGTATACAGGCAGCATTATCTTAATACCAAAACCAGAAAGGTGCTACAGAAACCAAAAACTGCAGGTCAATATCCCTGATGAACATAGATATAAAAACTGTCAACAAAATACTAGCAAACCAAATTCAGCCATACATTTAAAATACTGTATATTACAATTAAGTGAGACATATGCACTAGAACCTTTGTTCTCCAACTTAATTTGTTCCGGGAGGCTGTTTGAGATCCAAATTGTTTGAGATGGGAAATGATCAAGAACTGAGGTGTTGTGCAACAACCAAGACATTTTTCCTGTGAACAACTTGGTTGAGAACAGGTTTGAGGCAGGAGGCATTCGAGAATGAAGGTCTGAATGTGGCAGAGATGCAAAGATGGTTCAATATCTACAAATGAATTAATTAACATGATGCACCATATTAACAAAACCAAGAATAAAATCATATGGTCATCTCAATAGATGCAGAAAAAGCATCTGACAAAATTCAACATCCATTTATGATAAAAATTCTCAAAAAAGTAAGTACAGAGGGAACTTATCACATCATAATAAAATATATATGACAAACCCATATATAGCTAACAACTTACTCAATGTTGAAAAACTGTAAGCTTTTTCTCTAAAATCAAGAATAAGATAAAGATGCCCATTTTCACCACTATTATTCAATACAATACTGGAAATCCTAGCCATAGCAATCAGACAAGAAAAAGAAATATAAAGTATCCAAATTGTACAGAAAGCAGTAAAACTTTCACTATATGTAGATGACATAACACTATATATATAAAACCCTAAAGATTCTACCAAAAACTTATTAGAATAAATTAATTCAGTAAAATAGGATACAAAATTAATACACAAAAATCTGTTGCATTTCTATACACTAATAATGAATGGCCATAAGGAGAAATTAATAAAACAATCCAGTTCATAACTGCATGGAAAAGATAAAATACTCAGGAATAAATTTAACCAAGGATGTAAAAGACCCATACTCTGAAAACTGTAACAAGCTGAAGAAAGAAATTAAAACAGACATAAATAAATGAAAGGATATATTATGATCATGAATAGGAAGGATTAATACCACTTAAATGTCCATACTAGTTGAAGCAACCTACAGATTCCATGCAATCCCTATCAAAATATCAATGATATTTTTTTCACAACTAGGAAAAATAATCCTAAAATTTATATTGTACCACAGAAGACCAAGAATAACCAAAGCAATCTTAAGAAGCACAAACCTGGAGGTAACACATTCCCGGATTTCAAACAATTATTATAAAGCCATATCATAATCAAACAGTATGGTACCACCACAGAAGCACACACAAAGATCAATGGAACAGATGACAGAACCCAAAAATAAGCCCTCACTTATATGGTCCATTAATCAAGACAAACGAAACAACAGTCTTTCAATAAGTGGTGTTGGGAAAACTGAACAGATATGTGCAAAAAAAAAAAAAAAGAAAAAGAAAAAGAAACAGAAAAAGAACAAGAAACTCCCTCACACCATATACAAAAATAAACTCAAAATGGATTACAGATTTAAGTGTAAGAACTGAAACCATAAAACTCCTAGAAGATAGGCAGTAAACTCACCCAGGGAACGTGTTTAATTTTAGAGAAGAGGAAGGTAGGGGGCAGGGGGAGAGAGAGAAGCATCTATGTGAGAAACACAGATTGGTGCCCTCCCATACGCACTGCAACCGGGGATGGAACCCACAACCTAGCTATGTGCCCTAACTGGGAATCAAATCCACATCCTTTTGGTGTATAGGATGACTCTCCAACCAAGCTACCCAGCCAGGACTAACATCTTTTTGTCTATATCCTCTTGAGCAAGGAAACAAAAGAAAAAATAAACAAAGGGGACTGCATCAAACTAAGCTTCTGCACAATGAAGGATACCATCAACAAACAAAGACTACCTACTAAATGGCAGAATATATTCACAAATGGTATATCCAATATCCAATATGTATGAATAATTCATACACCTCAATACCAAAACAATAAACAATCTAATCAAAAAACGGGCAGAGGACAGGAACAGGCATTTCTCCAAGGAAGATATACAAATGGCCAAGAGACTTATGTAAAGATGCTCAAGAGCACTAAGCATCAGGGAAATGCAAATCAAAACCACAATGAGATACCACCTCACACCAGTCTGAAAGGCTATTATCAAAATGTTAACAAATAACATGTGTTGGACCTTGAGATAAGGAAACCCTTGTGCACTGCTGGTGTGAGTGGATCCTGGTGCAACCCCTATGTAAAAAAGTATGAAGATTCCTGAAAAAACTAAAAATAAAACTACCGTATCACCCAGCAATTCCACTTGTGGGTTATTTATCTAAAGGAATTCAAAACACTAATTCGAAACTATAAATGCATCCGTATGTTCATTGTAGCATTATTTACAATAGCTAAAATACAAAAGCAAGCTAGGTGTCCGTGGAAAAGATAAAAAAGATGTGGTACATATATACAATGCAATATTACTTAGCAATAAAAAAGAATAAAATCTTGCCATATGCTAAGCTAAATAAGTCAGACAGGGTCAAACATTGCATGATTTCACTTATACGAACACTCTTAAAAAAACACAACAAATGAACAATCAAAACAAAAACAGTCAAAATAGAGATCAAACTGAGGGTTGCCAGGGAGGAGGGAGGAGGGAGGCCGGGGGGTGGGGGGACAAGTGAAGGGGAATCGTCAATAATACTATGGTAGCTTGCACGGTGGTGATGGATGATTACTAGACTTAGTGTGGAGATCACATTGTAAGGTATATAAATGTTGAATTACTGTATTGTAGACCTGAAACTAATATATTCAATAATATTGTAGACTTTAAATATAATAAATAAATAAAACCAAAAGCCTATGCATAGAGCCAAAGACTGTAAGAAAATGGAAAGTGTGTTGTTTATGTGGGTACTGGGATTGCTGGTTATTATTTTTGTTTTAAAAATACACATTGTTATATTTGTGCAGCAAATTAAGAAAAAAAGGAGTTAGTCCACTTACTACACGGAGGTCTTCAATACGTTTCTCAAGAAGGACAGGTAAACCCTCTGGGAGTGTAGGTACCACCTTGGGCATAACCTGAGAGGCGTAGGTTGGCTGGGTGGTATTTCCGTTCTCTCCCCCTGACTCAGAAAGGGGACTACCATCAGAAGTAGCATCCAGTAATCTGTCAAAGTCGATATCATCTAGTATCTTTAGGGCACTTTCCGCTTCCTGAAACAGTTCATGTTCATTTGTGCTAACAAAAATGGGGAGGTCCGGATCAGCATTGTTCATATTTAAGTCTGAGACATCATTTCCCAAAGCTACAGCAGCGGAGGGGGGCTTATTCAGAGAGGTGGTCATTAAGTTCACTGGGACTTTGGGGTTCGAGTCCTTCTCTAATGCATCCTTCTCTTTTTGAAATTTTCGTATCATGGCAGCTAGAGAAAGAGTATCTTTATACCGTTTCTTCTTTTTTTCAGACTTGTGTGAATTTAGAGCCACAACTCTGTGAAACAAAAGGAATCAGTTAGGTTAGATACGGTTTTAAACATTAAAGCCCCATGTAAAGATAAAGGAGGCAGAGATTATCATTTGACAGGCAGAGGAGGAAATCTCCTATTAAATTATACTTTTACAATAGCATCTTCATCATCTTTTTGATTGCTGCTTATGAAATATGGATAGGTAAATGGACATTTGAGTGAAGAAAATGACAGGAATAAGTCAACAGACAGAAAGAAACTGAATGTAGCTCAGCTTTATTAAAATATACTAAGTTTCACCTACTACTGGTAGAATGTTCACATTCTTTAGCACATCTGTAAAGTAGTAACCTAAAGAGTTAACCAAGGAAGGAAATGTACTTTTACTAAAAACAGAGTTGCCTTACAACCAGAGAAGCCCACATAACACACCTGCAAACTTGTAACCTTAAGTGGCTTGTGCTACAAACTTCCCCCCCAAAAATATATCAAATCCTCTTTCTCAATCTGTGAGCCTCCATCCATCACCATGTTGTCAATCAAACCCTTCTGAACCTGCTACTACCTCATTTTTCACTTTCCAGGAACAGCTGTGTGAGGCAATGAGATAGATAAGAAATCTTCTCTGTACTCTTCAGCTCATGTGCTCCTGTGTGTACCGCAGTGCCTTGCAAGCAGGCAGGCCCATGTTTCATTTACTGTTATATATCACATCCACAACCGGTTCAATGCCTGGTACACAATAGGTACTTAACAAATATTTGCTGAATGCACAGGTTATAAATTTGAGAAAATGATAAATTCAGTAAAAGGTAGTGCATATAGTTTGTATTTCCAAAGAAGCTTACTTATAAATAATGAACATTTAAAACAACCATTAGTTACGTATTTTTTTTTCCTTAACAATTTAATGACTCAAGTGTCACTATAAACTCATATTCAGGATGGATAAATACCTCCCTACAAATTTTTGGACAGCTACAGTCTAAAATTCAGAGGCACCTTCTTCCCCTGCCAAGGGGGCAGGGAACATCCAGCCTCTCACAAGTTTCTGTACCTTAGTTTTTTTTTTAAGGTCACACAAAAGTAGGGGCAATTGGTAATGTTATGACTACGTGGTACAAACATTTTATTCTTATGATATAAGGTTTCTGACAAATTCTAACTTGGTTTTTAGAGGCAATATCAGTAGCTAAAGTAGCAAATGTTAAGTATAGCTAAATAAGTGATTTTTTAAATATTGAAACAACCGTAAGTCATTTAGACACAGACTAGTGCCAATCCTCAATCCCTCTTAGTTTCAGTACAAAAAGATTAAAATAATTTGTTCAATGCTTACACCATCTTTTCAAACTTGTTCTTACTGGTAAAACGTTGTAATAAGGAGAGTACTTAATGAACCAATTTCTAAATCTGATCTAATATACAGTGAGTCTCAAAGAGACTCTAAGACAAAGCCTTCTAATTACTAATAATATAATATTATCAAAATACAAGTTAATAGGTCACTGATATTTATAAATATTCTATTAAATTAGACTCAGCTAAGCTACAGTATTTAATACTAACTATATCTTTCTAAGAAGAGCGCTAGTCACACTATCACACTGGTTCTCCTATGTTTAATGCACATACCCCAGTTGTTTGGGTACTTTTTTCCTTGGCTTCTTCTCCTTCTCCCCTTCCTCTTTCCGCTTCCGCTTCTTAATCTCAATATCATCTTCTTTTATTTTGGGAATCTGTAAAATGATAAAAAGAATGCATCACTTATCTAAGTCTCAATGCTCTTCTCTGATGCTTGCAAATCCAGTATCTGGGGCAGTGCTTTTCTCAAATTTCAGGCTCCTTTAGAACCGCTTGTTAAAAATACAGATTCTTAGGGGTCCATGAGCATCCTATTCCTGGTTTGGATTCAGTTATATGTTGTAAGCCTTATAATCTGTGTTTTTAACAAACATTTTGATGATTCTAGTACAAGTATGTCTTTGAACCATACTTCAAGGAACACTTCTCTAAGGACACTCTCTCCATTTCCCAAATACTATATATATATATATTCTATAGAATTTCCTTTACAAATTACATCTTAGGCGGAGTAATGGCTATTAATAGTCATTTCTATACCAAATCTTAACATGTCCTAGAAATTTAACTGTATGCCAGAAACAGGAGATTATTAGACCAGGTATGGAGCAGGAAATTTTAAAAATATAATTCTACTTTGATGTAAATATCACTTCCCCATAACTACTTAATTTTACTTTAAAGTGTGTAATTAACTACAAATTCAATGAACAATGGTCAGCACTCTTCCTTATATTCAGTGTAAAGCACAAGTAAAATTGAAAAAGTATATCCTATTAACTGAATGCTCTCATTACTATTGCAATGTTGAAAAAACTCACCTTGGGTGGTTTGTGCTTTTGGTTGTCTGTAATATCTTCTTCCTCAGTATCTGAAGCTTGGCGGAACTGGAGAGTGCCAGTGTTGATATAAAAGCCTCCATATTTTGTTGTTAGAGAAGCAGGAACTAATTCATCATACTAGATTAAAAAAAAAGTTTCAGATATATTTTATTATCTTTAGTTCTGTAAATGTGTCAAAGAAACTCAACCACCATGTCAGCATCTTCCTCAAATCCTAACTGCAAAACTGACAGCAATGAGGATGTTTTGAAATAAGCTTAGAAAACGTTGATTCTGGAATAAAAATGAGTTCTAATCATTCAGTATTTATTAGAAAGGCACTTTTAGAATAATGGAACAAATTCTGAAATTTTTCTCTGCTGAGAAAAATTTAAGGATCACTGCTATATTCTTAATAACAATGATTCTGATGAGAAATTGAAACAACTTAAGACAGATGACTAAAAATCCAGACAGATAATATATTTCATTTCCTATCAGTATATAATTGTATTCATAAGAAGATTATAAAAAATTAAGTTAAAAAGAAATCCCTCTATAACATAAATAAAATGTTTAAGAAAAGAAAAATAACAAATTTATTTCTTTTGTTTTAGCTGTAAGCTTTTAAGTGGAGAAAAAATTTTTAAACACTTAAAAGAAAAATAGCATGTGCATGTTTTAAAGGAAAGCAGAAAAGGAACTGTCCAGTTCAGCAGGCATATACTGGGGCAGAATGAGCCATGCACTTTGCTTGGAGCATGAGCCTCAAATTGCCTACATCAGCCTGAAATGTCTGACCTAGAATATCCTTAAAGCTGATTTTCCCTAAGCCTAGATTTTAAAGTTTATCATTATCTCACTAGATGAAGATAGACAAAATGCAACCACTGAATGGAGGTCAATCTTAACCAGATGGAAGCTTTTATAGTGGGAGAGCAAATGGGATCTACTTATCTATTAGAAACAAGACATCTGCTGCCTGGGGTCTCCAAAACTCTGCTTAAGGGTTCTTCATATTATATATATTAAGTCTTTAAGAGAGGCAGATGTTTTTCTTTTTTAATTCTCACCCAAGGACAATGTCATCCATTTTAGGAAGGGAGGGAGGGAGGAAGGGAGACAGGGAGAGAGAAATAGGGATGTGAGAAACATCTATTGTCTGCCTCCAGTGTGTGCCCCGACCGTGGACCCAGCCCACAGCCTGCGGGCACACGGGATGATGCTCCGGCCAACCGAGCCACCCAGCCAGGGCAGAAAGTCAGGTTTTTAAAGAAAATTCTTTGCCAGGGGTAAGAAATATACGTAACTTACTAGTTGCTATAATGATATTAAGGCTAAGTATTGCACAAAAGTTGTGATTTCAACTTTTAAATTATACGGAAATGGAAAAAAGAAAAAAATGTGTTTAATCATACAGAATCAAAAAGAAATGAAGAAAAGAAAAAGAAAAAAAGGCATGAACTCCTTTCTTGCTGCCCCACTTCATGGGCTGCTACAAAAATCTAGAGTTAAGATCTTCAGAAGGGTCCAGTTCTACCTACAGGTAAAGGAGCGATGAGAGGAGTCAAGGATTAAAAATGAAAAGACTTTTATTTTGTATTATTCTGAAAATGTGTGATTCTGATTAAGATAAACACACCTGTATTTTCTGCTTACATATACCTGCACACTGCTTTATAATGTTCAATGCTTCCTCATATACATTATTTCACTTGGTCTTCCTGGTACTCTTGCGAGGCAGGGAAGGCCAATATTTTCCCATTTTACTAAAAAAACCGTATTCCGAGAGGTCAAGACCCTTGCCAGAGTAATTTTATTAATGCAGGGCGGCGCCACCGGCTGACTCCGGCCTGCCACACCCCCGCGCAGCTCTCAGCGGCCCGCCCCATCGCCGGGTTGTTGGGGGCAAGTGTGGGCGCGCTCAGCAAGTGTCTTCTGCAGTACCCTGCCGAGCTCCCCACGAAGAGCACTCTTCAGGAGGACAAACTATGCTGATTTTATTTATCCCTTCAGGCAGAATGTGTTAGGAGGCAATAGAGCACTAAACTTGAGAATCAGGAGGCATGGATTTAGATCCTTTGCTGATGACCAACTATTGTGACCTAGAGGAAATCACTTTGCATCAATATTCTGGGACAGTAAAACAGGAGAAAGTTCTAGTGAAATTTAAGAGACAACCTAAATAAAAGTGTTACTCGCCCCTGGTATAATATTATTTATTAATAATAATGAATATTTTCTTTCAGTCTTTTAAAAATTTGGCAGCATCTAAGTGTGAGACTCAAAGTAATCTTCAAAATCATTTACTTTCAGGTACTTATGGCATTAAGTCATACAAGATTCTGAAAATTAATTATAAGCAGATTATTTTCACTCTCTAGCAAATAATATAAGAACAATAAAAGTTTATTGGCAATATAATCAAGAGCAGAACAGAGAATCATTTGGTTGGATCACAATTGTTTTATGTCTGAATTATCTCATAAAAACACCCAAATAATCCGTTAAAGTAACAATGCACAACTATTTTGCAAGTCAATAGACAACCTGAATTTTAAGTTCAATTGCCTTTCATTAAACCGTGATATACCTTGTCCTATAAGGTAACTAACTGTATAACTTTTATACAAATTATACCTACAAAATTTCTCCTTATTTATTAAAGCAGTGGCTTTCAAATTTTCTTGACCGCAACCCAGGTGGCGAACATACCACACATCCAAACGCAGTGCCCAGGCGCACACACGCACATGACCAACCTCGCAGAGCCCGCCAGTGGTTACTATGACAGCTCCTACTCTCTTCTATTTCACTTCCTTTACAACTGCTGGCCACTCTCTACATTGGTACGTAATCCAACTATGGACTGCAAAAGTATCTTTGAAAAGCACTTTATTAGAAAATTCTGAATACTACAAAAGAACATATTTAAAAGGCTGTTTATGAAAAACAAAACTATAGAGACAGTAAAAGATTAGTGGCTGCCACTAGTGGCTGCCAGGACACGGGAGGGACAAACACGGCAGAGATTTTTTTAGGACAGTGAAACTATTCTGTATGGTCTTGTACTGATGGGTACATGTCATTATACATTTATGAAAACCTGTGGAATGTACAACCCCTAGTGTGAGTTCTAAAGTAAACTAAGGACCTTGGGTGATGCTATGTCAATGTAGGTTCATCGACTGTAACTGATGTACCACTCTGGTGGGGGAATGTTGACAACGGGGTACACTGTGCATGTATGAGCACAGGAAATAAACAAGAAATCTCTGTACCTTTTGCTCAATTTTGCTGTGAACCTAAAACCACTCTTAAATTAAGTTTACTAATTTTGAAAAATGCTGTTTATGTAAGCCTCAGTACCTGAAATGTCCATTTATATATGGCTAAGTTCCTTCCTGGGTTATTTAGAATTCGAAACCTACTTTACATATAATGTTAACTATAACGCTAATGCTTTATACATGCTTTATGCTTCTCAGCATGTCACCATCTTCTCTGAGTCTCAGAGGAATTCTGCCAGGCAAGGCAATCATAGCAGAGAAAAGTGGGTGATGCTAGAAGACCTGCTCCTGGTCCATGTCAAGACTCTTGAAACTATGCCGGGCCCTGACTTACTCGTTGACAACCTCTACTCTGAAGGGTGCCGGCAGCATTTTCCTCCTACAGACCAGGCTGCCTGCAGGGTTAACCAGCTCGTGTCAGGACACCAGAGACTCCAACTCAGAACTATGGCAGGGCACCCATCATGCATCGTGCTCAAAGTCCTCCCTATCACTCTCCTACCGCCATAGGCTTTGTCGTCATCTGTGCAACCACCCGCTGTAGTAATAGGAAAGACGTATTAATAGGTGGGTCGCATAATAACCACCTCAGTGTCGCTTTCTATATACTCTGTGTAATCACTGCACGCTGAAGGGAATAACATAATCTCAGCATTTAGACTACTCTAGTACACTGAGAAGAACGTAAGACTCTTACCTACCAAAACACAACATGCCCTCCTTTATCTGCAGTGATCAAGGACTGCCACAGTCCTTAAATTCTATTCTATTTCACTTTCATTTCCTTTAAATTCCTCTTCCTTTTATAAGAGAGAGAGGATTCCAGAAGAACAGCCATAGGGTTTAATCAAAACGGGCTGGTGATAAGGGCTGGCATTTAATTACCACCACAGTAGTTAAGTCTTGGCAGCAATAAAAAAAGTTAAGTACATTTTAAAGATGTCTTCCAGATAAACTTTAACCCAGTAGTTCCAATCTTCAAGATCATATGATTCTCATATGCAAGTCATTTTAAAATATACCTGGCCCAAGTTTGGGGATATCAATAAAAATTCAAAATGTAAATACCCTTTGATCAATAAATTCCACTGCTAAAAATTTATCCAACACATATACTTGCACTCTGTTATTATCTTACACAGTTACTCAAGTACACAAAGATAAGCACCTTACACAGGGACTCGATTTTTTTTAAGTACATAAAACTGAAAACAATTTAGATGTACATCAATAGATTAGTTTGTTAAAACATTCAATGAACTATTTTACTTACTTTACTCTACCCTTGACTTCCACTATCCCAAATAAACAAAAAATTACTGCTATATTAAAGACACATTACTCACAGCCTCTGAGTTATCAATAAATGGATCTGTCTCATCATAGCCAAAGCCTATATCAATTAAATCTTGTAGCCGATCCTTCCGGTGTTTACGGGGTTTCCCACCCTGCAAAGAACAAATACGTTAGACTGATTCAGTACTCATACTATTTCCATAAAGTTAAAATACATCTGCGGGAAGAATCCCAAGTAATTTCTGTAGATAATGTCCCCTCCAGGGGACAATTTAAGTCCCTGACACCTTGAATGTAAGTTGTCCTTAAGGACTTGCTCCCAAAGAGCACAGTATGAAAGAGGAGCCAAAGTAATCTTACGTTAAACCACCTGGCCAACATTACCTCTGCCAGGTGATCAAGGTCAACATCAACGGTGATAAGTCACGTTGATAATATGTAACCTTGATATCGTGCGATAAAAATGGCACTTTACCTTTGTGCTCTTCCTCTCAAAAGCCTATAATCCCAGTTACAGGTTAACAGTGAGGAAAATGTCAGACAAACTAATTTGAGGGACATTCAATAAACAACTGACCAGCATTCCTCAAAGTTATCAAGACTGTCAAAAACAAGGAAAATATGAAAAACTGTCCCAGTATAGATGAGACGACTAAGTGTAACGTTGTACTCTGAATGGTATCTAGAAACTGGAACAGTAGGAGAAAACTAGTAAAATCTGAAGAAAGCATGCGGTTTAATTAGCAATAACATACCAATGTTGGTTTGTTAAGATGTAACAAATGTACTACACAAATGTAAGATGTTCTAGGGGAGAGTGGGCAAAGGCTATATAGGAACTCTTATCTTTGCAACTTTCCTAGTAATCCAAACTATTCTGATTTCTTTAAATGTTATAGAATTATAAACATACAAGAAAATGAAAAATGAGTGCATGCAAAAACTGGTATCTAAATAAGGTCTGTAGCCTAACTAATGCTTTTGTGCCGAGGTCTATTTCCTAGTTTTGATAAATATACTTACATAAAAGATATTACCATTGGGGAAAACTGGGTGAGAATCAGAAGTCAGAGGAAGAAAAAAGACCTACTTCTAGGATAGGAATTATTTTATTGAAAAAGTCACACATAAGCAGTTAAATACATGAAAAAAACTGTTTCACCCCTTAAAAGAGAAAAAGCTCTAGGAAGAATATAAAAACTCACAGACAAAAACTAATGAAGAGGACTAGTTCAGTCACATATTAAATATATTTAAAGTTACATGAGTTTAAATAGATATGGCAAGAATATAAGAATAAACAGATAAATACACAGCAATGTTCAGAAACTGAACCTACTATATTAGACTTTAACATGAAAAAGACAGCATTACAACTCCATGGAGCCCAATTAATAAATCAAATAAATGGAATTAAGATAATAATTTCACCTATCAAATTACAAACTTTGAAAATTCTGACAAAATGGAGAAGAACTAGGACTACTCAAACACTGCTGCCTTGAATACACTGATAAAAACTCTTTTGGGACCCTGGCTGGTGTGACCCAGTGGACTGAGTGTTGGCCTGAGAACCGAAAGGTCGCTGGTTCAATTCCCAGTCAGGGCACATGCCTCAGTTGCAGGTTGGGTCCCCAGTAGAGGGCATGTGAGAGGCAATCATGTATCTCTCACACATTGATGTTTCTCTTCCTCTTTCTCCCTCCCTTCCCCTCTCTCTAAAAAAGTAAATAAGTAAAATAAAATCTTTAAAAAAAAAAACCTGAATGGGACATTTAAAAAAAAAATTCTTTTGGAAAGCAATCTGAAAGCATCTGCCAAGAAATTTTGCTACATTCTCACATTTTCTTCATTTGCCTCTTCCATGTTTCCTAAATGTTCAATGAAGCATTAATGTCGTAATATACATATACTAAAATAATTTTTTAAAGCCATCATATTTAATATGATAATTCTACTTAGTTATACAGCTTATTCTGAACCAATGCTTAGATGCAAAAGTATGTTAGGGCTTACAGTAGAGAAAGCTGACATGTTAAATGTCAGAAGGAATTTAAATTTAAGTCTTGTCCTCAAGGAAATTAAAACAACATCATCTACTTAACAAATTTACGTAGCACCTATCAAGTACCAGCCTTCATGGATTTTTTATCCATGTGTTGTGGAGAGGAGAAAAATTTTTTAAATAATTATACAGTTGCAATAAATGGTAGAATGAAAAATATAAGTGGTACCGAGACTTTTTAAACAGAAGACCTAATCAAGGCTTTCCTGAGGTACTTAAGTTCCAACGAGGACGAGTGAAACTATAATTACCTGTAGGGGCCACTGAAAGGTTTAGAACCAGGAAGTAACCTGACAAGATTAGTGCTTGACAAGATCACTCTGGCGGTGGTGGTGGAGAATGAACACAGTTGGGGAAGGGATCAGTTATGAAGGAAAAACATGCAGGTAATTTACAAGGAAGTCACAAGCTATGGGGACATAAAATTATAGTTAAGTACCTACCATGACGACGATGACAGTTACCATTCTCTGAACACTAACTTTGTGCATTAGCGCTTATACTAAGTACAACTATCCATTATTCCACATTTGACAAATGGGGAAAAACTAAAGCTTGGAACAGACAGCTAACTTGTCTAGGCTCACGCAGAAAGTAACAGGACCAATCTTCAAATTCCTGGCTGTCTGACTCCCAGTGCCACTCCATTCAAGTTCCATCAGAGAAGACCTGGAGCCTCCGGGTCCCATTCCCGGGCAGTGACGGGAGGGGGCGGGGGGCTCCTGCTGCCAACACCCAACTGCACACTGTCGCGCCCCCGCCCCCCCGTCACTCATCGACGGCGATTCCTCCCGCTTCACATCCTCATTTCATTCATTCTGCTTTTCTGCCTTAAAACTTTATTATTCACTAAAACGGTAAAAGCTGATGATAAAAATAAATAAAGGCTGGTGACAAACGCCACACAACAGATTATTACTCAAGAAGAACAAAGAGGAAGGAACTGCTGACACATGCAACACATGGGTGAATTTCAGAAGCATTATGCTAAGTGAAAGATGCCAGACACAAAAGACTGTAAGATTCCCTTTATAGGAAACTCTAGAAAAGGCAAAAAAAAATAAACTTCCAAAAACCAACAGTGACAAGAAGTACATCAGAGGTTGCCAGAGGTCAGGGCTGGAGGGAGCAGTTATCTACAGAGAAATAAAGGGGAACTTTCTAGGGTGGTGAAATTGTTCTGTATCACAACTGTGGCAGTGGCTACAGGACTGCGTGCATCTGTCAAAACTCATCAAACTGCACACTTAAAACGGATGAACTGTATTTAATTTTATTTCAATAATGCTGATTTTTAAAACCCCTTGTGACTATTTCTACTTCAAAACACTCTCCCTCCACAAACTTTTGTTCGTATGATTATTCACACCTAAAGCTTTCTTTCCATTCTCCCACGGCTGTAATGCTGGCTATTGTTTCCAGTTAAATGTAATGAATGTCTTAATTAGCCTCTCCTCTGTCATATTTATCCTCAATTTATCTTACATAATATCCCCTAATTAATATTTCTAAAATACCATTTGTATCATTCCTCTGCTCAAAATGCCTTGAAAGCATCCTACTTATAAGATAAATCTAAAACCCTTACTATGGCATTAGTTAAATGCTTCTTACATGTTGACTCAAACTACCTATCCAACTTCTTCCTTACTTTTCCATCTTTGATCCATTCAGTCTCTCCAAACACATTTCTTATCTTTTTTCATCCCTTCCCCTTATTTGGAATAATCTCTTAAACCTTTCTGAATTCTTCCACCTTCACAGCTCAGCCCAAGTTTTAAATCTTTTCTCCTTCATGCTTTCTACTTAAAAATCACAATGGTCTTTTTCTGCTGTCCTAACATATTTTTTTATCTAGGTAAAAAAATAGCTGCCTGTAAGATTTACCTAGGGAACATGGAAAAAAAAACAGAACAGGTCTGTTGTAATGGGCGAATCAGACATAGGCAGAAGTACAAGTGACTTATGTATAATTAGAGATTTAGGAGCATTTACCATATTTTGCATATGTAAAATGTGCACTTTTTGCCCAAACTTTTGAGGGAAAAATAAGGATGCATATTATACATGGGTACAATGATTACATATCATGGGCATAATAATCACATATACAATGCACACAAAACCTTGGTTACGCATTATACACATCAAAATATGGTAAGTCTAGTCAAGGTGACCAGTAGTTACCACAGGAAACTAGAACTGTTGTTAATAGTTCTGAGTCCATAATCTAATATATGCAGTTAATTAACTAAGTAAATGTAAATCTTATCAATGATGGCAAACAAAATGTCTAAAGCTTTACTTAATTGTAATAATCTGACCAAAATGCTTCTCAAAAAGGATCATACAAATTTAAGACACATTATATTAATTATAGCACCGTAACAATGATAAAAGTATCAACTGTATATATTATGACATATCCATTCAATGTTTATAGTCAATTTAAAACAACATGGTCAAGGAATATTTCATATTACAGAAGGCAACAAAAGCAGTTTACCAAATGTCATGTAGAGTTCAGGCTATTCACAGAAAAGGTAATATTAATGTTCTCTAAGCATCTGAAAGTGTTCAATCTGTTAATATTGGAGACAACATTAAAATAACAAGATACTGCTTTTCCAACTATCATACAAACAGTGAGAACTCATTTATGAAAATCACAACACATCAATGTGTCAAAGCACACATATATAAAATGCTCAAAGAATCCTAACAAGCAGATAATAACTATGGTCATTACCAATGGACAAAGGATGTAACTGGAGACAGGGGTAAAGGAAAGCTCTGGCTTAATACGTACGCTTGAATTTGTTTCTAATAACAGGACTGTACTCCAGTATTACTCAGGCAATTAAAACACGCGTTACAAAAATTTTAAGTGCAAGAGAGCAAATATGTAAGCACACATGCATTATTAAAAGCTCTGAAAGGATAATGACCAAACTAACAGCAGTTATGCCTGGCAGGGGGCTTAGAGATGATTAAGGGATTTTTCTTTCCTTCTCTTTATTCATCTGTACTTACACATTCTTTACAGTGAACAAAATCTTTGAAATACTTAAATGTTTACATACACGT